CCAACCCACTTAGGAGAAGGCACTCCAGATCTGAGCACAAGTGGCATGGAAGACTTTAATCCCAGGAAGCAACTATCTGTGAGTTCCAGGCCAGTCTAGTCTACATAGCAAGTTCCATGCTAGCCAAGGCTTCATAGTGAGACCTTGTCACAAGAAAGGAAAAAAAAAAAAATGGAGGGTTTGGCTGGTGAGATGGATGATTTAGCCATCAACCTGATAGTATGTTTGATTCCCCACATTGTACGAAAGAACCGACTCCCACATACTGTCCCGATTTATACATGTTCACTATGCATTCCCATGAGCATGTATATGCACACATGCATACATACACACATAAATAAATGAAAATGTTTTTTTCTTAAGTAGTAGGTCAACTACTGCAACCTGGTGGCCTCTGAGAACAAGATGCCCCAGAAGGAAACCGGAGCCTCTTCTGAAACATCAGCTGGCAGCCTGACCTAGGCTTGATCCAGCCACTAAGAGTAGTTTTCACAGAGTTGGAGAGATGCTGACTTAGCAGTTAAAAGCACTGGCTGCTCTTCCAGAGGTCCTGGGTTCAATTCCCAGCACCCACACATGGCAGCTCATAACTGTCTATAACTCTCGCTCCAGAGGATCCAATACCCTCACACAGAAACACATACAAAACACCAATGCTAATGAGATAAGTAAATCGTTTTCACGCCTTTCAAATTGTTGAAAAAGAAAACAATAACCCTATTTCATGACTTGTACAAATCAAATCTGTGTCCCACAGTAAAATATTGTCAAAACCACCGCCCTTCTTGCCACATTAGTACTCTCCCAAGTGAGTGGCTACAGGCTAAGGCCAAAAGAGCTGAAAGCTACATCATGCCAACCATGGATCTAGAACAAGCTGCAGTTGTGAGGTGTGAGGCACAACTGGAGGAAGCCCCTCCTTCATCATGTCCCTGTGATTCAATAGGGGTCCAGACATATCACTCAGACTTATTTTCACTTCCTATGGATTGCACAAAACAATGCTTTGAACATAGTAGAAACATTACTCTTTAAAAAGAGACCCATGAGGAAGGATTGAGGGCCTCGAAGAGGATACAAACTCCACAGGAAGACCAATAGGATGAACTAACCTGGACTCTTGAGGGGGCTCTCAAGAGACTGAACGACCAATCAAAAATCATACAAGGGCTGGACCTAGGCCCCTTGCACATATGTGGCAGATGTACAGCTCGGTCTTCATGTGGGTCCTGAACAATTGGAGCAGGGGCTGTCCCAAAAGCTGTTGCCTGTATGTAGGATATGTTGTTCTAGCTGGGCTGCCTTGTTTGGCCTCAGTGGGAGAAGATGCGCCTAGACCTGCAGAAACTGGGTATGCTAGGGTAGGGGGGGATACCCAGTGGGGACTCTACCCTTTCAGAGGAGAAGGGGAGGGAGAATAGGGGGAGAGACTGTGGGAGGGGAGTATCAATCCAGATTAAAGTGAATTAAAAAAAAAGAGAGAGAGACCTCTGCATGACTGGAGGAATGGCTCAGTGGTTAAGAGTGTTTGCTTCAGGCAATGGTAGCATATACCTTTAGTCCCAGCACTAGGGAGAGGCAGGTGAATCTCTAACCCTGGTCTACTGAGCTGACAGGGGTTACACAAAGAAACCTTGGCTCAAAAATAAAACAAAAAAAGCTTGTTGCTTTCCCAGAGGATCTTAGTTTGATATCCAGTACTATTGGGCAGCTCACGATTGCCTATACCTCCAGCTCCAGGGAATCCAACACCTCTGATTTCTGCAGACACACACACACACAAACACACACACACACACACACACCTAATTAAAAAATAAGAATATTTAAATATTTTAAATATTTAAAAAGATTGCTGGCCTACTAATGACCTGAGGTGCTGACACCAGGGCATGCTGTGCAGGAGCCAGGCCTAGTGGAGAGGGCTGTGTACAGGTAGGATGCTGGGAGTGAGGTCTACCTCCAGCAACTAAAGGGAACTAAATGGAGGACCCACTAAACATGTCCACCCGAGGCCTCTCAGTATGTGGCTCTCTTTGGAAGCAATCTGTGCAAATATAAGCACCCCAACATCTCCAGAAGAGGGCCCTGCAGTTAGCAGCGCTGGAGTTACTGAGAGAAACTTAGAAATGACCACCTAGAGATATAGGCAGAAACTGCAAGAGACTACATCACTCTTAGAGGAAAGGAAGACTCCTTTGGCCTCTGGAGCAGGGCACCCTCATGTCACTCCAGGTCTCTTGCATGAAACCTTCTAGCCCATAGTCACCTGTTTAGGTGGCTCCTCTCCAGACCCTCCCCACTCTCAACTGCCCCACCCACCTATAGGCAGGATACACCTTACAACCAAGACCCCAGAAGGGGACCAGCTTGAGAAAGGAGGCTCCAGATCTGGAAAGGGCATGCTCTGATCCTATGTTCCCCATGATGGATGTGGCTCCAGGAGAGGAGAGCCAGCACAGGGAAGTCATACAAGAAAGGGTTCAAGTGTCCATCTTGGACACTGGGATCCTGTGGCTCTAGACAGTGAGGAAGCTCTCCCAAGGGCATAGGATAAGCTAGCTAAGCCTGTTCCTTGGCCCTGCAAATGGCCCCTGGTGTCACTTGTGTTAACTGGTGTCTAAATGTCCTGGTAAAATGCTGACCTATGGCCCAAAGTGTGATCGGACAGCACCCAGACCTCCTTCATGTATCACCAGAAGCCCCTGAGTGCTCCTCATGGGCAGTGGCTAAAAAAAGTACAGCTAAAGAAACCTGTGACCCTTCACACAGAGAAACAAAGGGGCCAATTCAAACCCTCACTAGGAAAGCTGCCCAACAGGACACACAGGAATACAAACTACAGGGGCAGTAAGAGCGTGATGGACATGCTCTCATCTGCCTACGTAAAGAATCGGTAGACTTTTACGTGTTCACAGTGTCTGTGGGTGGCATTGAGCCCCAAAGAAAGGTTCTGGAAGGATACAGACAGAAGGAGAAAGGCATGATTTCTGAGAACGTGGGAGACCTGCCTTATTTTTCTGTTTAAGCATTCTCTATTTGAATCCATTCACATAGCCTCTGGGTAGTTTGTCTTCTTATATTTATCTATTTATGTAGATGGTGGTTCATTGTAGCCTAGGCTGGCCTTGTGATGATCCAACTTCAGCCTTTTAAGATCCGGGATTGCAAGCATGAGCCACCATGCCTGGCTCAGTTTGCTCTTGGCCTGATTTAATGGAGACCTCTGGATGACAGCCCCAGAGCTCCCTGCCCCTCCCTCCTGGAAGCCCTACCTGCTTCTGACGTCCTTGGTGCGGATGGGGGCCAGAAGGCTGAAAGAAGATCTGGCTGAGTGAATGGAGTGATCGTCACCAGCCAGGGGGCTCCGGGGTCTGCTGGGTCCCAGGTTGCTGTGGGCCCTGACCAGTCTGGTCTGCATGCGGAGCTTGTAGTCCGTGTGCTCAGGGTCAACCTTGTTTGCTGTTCTCAAGGAGCTGGAGGCTATGTTGAGGTCCATAGCTGGTGGTGTGTGAGAGGCATGCAAACTTGCCAACCTGGAGGGGGGCCTACCTGAAGCAGCCTGTCTGTGCAGGAAGTCCAAGGAGGTGCTGATCGTTCCAGAAAGACAGTCATTCCATAAGGATGGGCTCCCTCCCTCACTGCCTGTGGCCCTTCGGGGCTTAGGTATCTCCTGCAAGGATGTGCTGAGGCAGGGCAGGGGACGACTGTAGGCAGGGGACTGGGATACTGAGTCCTGCAAGGAGCCCCTGCAGGGACTGGCCCCATTTTGGACAGTCAGATCTTCCTGACTACCCTGGAAACGCCTCCTCCTCCAGCCCTTGTCATCGAGGGACAAGGTTCGCTCCAACTTGGGTCTAATAGGTGGCTGTGGGGTGATGAGGTTTGCCTTAGCTTGTGGGTTCTGGTTGCTTGGTTTTGCTGGAATGCTGAAAGGAGGCATGGGGTTTGTCTCTGAACCCTGAGAGTCAGTGGCTGGTAAGGAGCCTGGTGTTGGGATGAGCATCTTTTCCGTGTTTGGAAGCTGTCCCTGGAGCATTCTGCCTTCCAGTTGCCCAGGTGCCTCCATGTGACGCAGGCAAGCTGACTTAGACGGCATAGTCCAGACCTGGCCAGCCCTGACCCACTCAGCCTAGCCCTCCCAAGGAAAAGGATCCTCCCTGGGAGGTTAACAAGCAACTCTTGTTGTCAAGGATGCACGTCAGAGATTGCCAGCTGGATGCCATAAAAACTCGGGTGGCTCTCTTTGTGGCATGGGGCGGTCCTTTTGGAGCAGGGCCTGTAGCTGCATGGCTGGAGACTTGAGTTCTCACTGATGCCTGAGGAAACTCAGAAAAATCCCTTAGCTCC